ATTGATGTCACTTTACAGGGCTTAAATGCCCAATGTTCATATACGTCTTCCTCTAAAGTACCTTTAATATGGTTTATTTTAAAAAGTTAATTATTCCACATTATTCAGAGTTACGAAAAAATTCTAAATATAACTTTTGAAAGAATTTGATAAGTTAATAAAGGAGAAAAAAAATAAAAATGCAGAAAAACATGCGTAGCTATAGACGAATGTACCGATTTCATTGAAACTTCGCTAAAGTCATTTTCTCGACACCCTTCAAATTTATCTATATAACATACTTCAGCGAAAAGAAGCTGGAAAAATAGTTACTAGGAATGGTAAAATTAAATTCCGAATAACTCAAAAATTATACACTTTTTTGGGAATGCTGTGTTAAGATGTTTCAAAGGTATTTAAATTGCCTAAAAAACAAAAGAAGTTTCATCGAAATCAAAGCACTATTAGTAGACTTTAAAATATTGTATCGTATTGTGTTGTATTAAATTGTATTGTATTATTTTTGTTGGTAGGATATTAGACATTACGGTACAATTGCAAACATATGAGAAACTCAACTGATTGCAACTAATCTTATTTGTGGCATAATAAGGCTTGTAATGGATTTAAACCACAAAGATCAATACAGCCGGTGCAAGCCTGAATACGCCATTGTAGTGTTTATATTGTAAATTGGGAGTTTAGGGCGTTTGCCTAGTAAATGTTGAATTAGCTGGAATAGCCTTGTGGTTTCAGTCTTGTGTGAGGATCCCACGTGTGTTTCTACTACATATCTAAAGAGCAGCCATTGCAATTAACTCTCATTTTTCTCATTAGGTGTATAAAAGTCATGATTTTACATTTATTTTTCGAATTAAAGTCATGATTTTATTTTTACATTTGAAATAAAACATTAAAAAATTCAATTTCCATAGAATTTAATTATTTGGTTTTAAATATTAAATTATTTCGAATTCCTTCAATGTGAGAGTCCATATTTATGGTAACGGAAGGGATTTATATAAAAATAATATCGATTGTAAGATTGCGCAGTCATAAATCAATTTATTTTAACTTTTCGGATTTCTTCGTTTGGAGATTCCATTGTTATGTTTTTGGAAGCGTAGTTTTGAAAATCTAATCGATAGAGTTTGAGCTATCATGTATCAATTTATTTTAACTTTTCGGATTTCTTCGTTTGGAGATTCCAATATTATGTTTTTGGAAGCGTAGTTTTGAATATGTAATTGATCGAGATTGAGCTATATTAATTTATTTTAGATTTTTAGATTTTTCGGTACACAATAATGTTAACAGATGAGATTTTTATGAAAATATTATCGATTTTAAGATCGTATAATACTTTATCGATTTATTTTAACTTTTCCGATTTCTTCGATATTGAACCTTTCTTTATAACGTTTTTGAAGTATTTTTTGAAAATACTATGGGTTAAGATTGGGCAATCGAATATAAATTTATTTTGTTCTTTCGAATTTTTCGTGTCTTTTATTTTTCAAATAAAAAAATAAAATTTATGAATTGATTTTTCTGTTTGGATCTCTGGTAGCAATTTATTTTATTTTTTCCTTTTTCTTGGATATAAGAATCCGTTACTATGTTATCGATTGAGAAGTTTTTATAAATACTATCGATTTTAAGATTGGAAGATCATGCATCGATTTATTTTGACTTTCTGCGCAGTATTATAATCGATATTATTTTCATTAAAAGAGCCTCCTATAGTATAATGATGAACTCTAATATCGAAGAAATCCACAAAAAAACAAAATAAATTGATATATGATACCATTGTATGATTGAATTAATGGATAGTCTTAAAAAAAAAAAATAATAAAAAAATAAAATAATAAAAAAAAAAAAATAAATAAAAACGCCATAGCATAATAATGAGATTATATCGGAGAAATCCAAAAAGTCAAATTAAATTAATACACAATCGCACAATCTTCATCTATCTTGTTTACAAAAACTACCTCTGCGAAAAGATAATAATGGATCCTCAAATCGAAGAAATCTGAAAATCTTTAATATTTACCCTTAATTATTAAATTATTATATGAAGTAAGACATTCATAAACCATGAAATATCCAATCCACCGCTTTTTGTAAACAATATAGCTAATTGTAATGTCGAAATCAGAGAATCATCTTGTAAACTTGGGTTTAGATGTCAAATCTCCAAAATAATAGGGACTTCTTAAATTTTTTAATTCTACTTATCTTAAATCGTTAAACCTATAATTTTGATGTTGGTGTATGAATCAATATGATTTTTTTTTTCTTTTTCGATTACAAATGTTCATTATTGAAAATTATAAATAAAAAATAAATTAAAATAAATACCAATTAATCAGATAATATATTAGATATCACATAAAAATGTTTACTACTCAAATGGGTTTTGTTAATTCAATATCCCAACAAAAAAGAAAAAACAAACCAACAAAGAAACTTTTAATTTTTCCTTCGAGATATCTTGATCCTAATATTGTAAAAGCCCCATTTGGAATAATTATTTTTTTCACAAAAAATGGGTAGAAATAAAAGGAAAATTAATTGAAGGGTCTTAAAATTAACGAAATCTTTTTAAGTCGAAAATAAAAGGCTCGAATCATTTAAAACTTCAATTTCTTTGACCTGGTCTTGGCGTGGGGACTTCTTAAAATGTCAAGGAAGTGAAAGAAGTTAATTGGAACGGTTGAATCGAAGTCGTTTGAAAGAGACTTTCATGAACAAAAAGTAACTGAATGGAGGCAAAATGGTCAACCGGCCAGTTACAACTTCATAACATCGGAGTTGTATCAACTTCAACAACTCAGTAAATGGATATTTGTTTTTCTTCGATTCAGGAACAGACTATTGCCTGCCTACAGTTGATATTGGTATATATTCTTTTTTAATATTATAATTATTTGTATTTACAATCTATAAGAATAAAATAAAGATTTTGTCTGTACATTGAATATAATCAATCCGTTTTATGATATCTTTCCGTTTCATACATTGCAGACACCAAAGCCACTTTAAAAAAAAATTTTTGTCTGTCTGTATGTCCGCATTGCAACGCAATTTTGTCAGGGGTAAGCTCAACAATGGCTTATTGTAGACTTTTGAAATTATATTAAAGTTTGCTTGACTTAAAACATGGGCTTTAAATGAAAACAAAATATTGAGTAGAACCAAAGTTATGAATGCTAATAATAAACATATGTTTATAGTTTAAAGAACATCTATATAAATAAAATAATCAACCCGTTCAGAATCAACCCGTTTCGTGATATATTTCCGTTTTATACATTACAGACAGTGTTAGTCAATTAAGAGTTGCAAACCCAAAACACATCAGAATCTATGCAAAAAACAGAACATTTTCGATTGAGTCTCAAGAAACCTGTATATCATGCAGCCAATTTATCTACAATAGTCTACATCATATTGCCCAGCATACAATGACTATAGACAAAAATTCCTCCAAAACTTCTTCTCAGAATCTTCTGATAACCGCAACGTCGAATCCATACTGAATATCGATTGTATAGATAAATTGAATAAAGTTTACTATTATATGATGGGAGTTCACAATGTGCATACACAAAATTGTTGATCATAGCCATGTTCTATTAAGCGTTTGTTTTTAGTTTATCTTAAGAGTAATATTTTGTTTATATTTATAAATATTTTTATTTTGTATTGTTTCTATCATAGTTACTGGTTCATATAACGATTATTATGCAGTAATCGTTTTATGTTTTTAATTTTTATTGTTACATGTTTTGTGAAAACCATTCTAAACGTTAAATATTGTAAATTTTATGTATATTTAAAGTATATGTATGTAAATTTGTAAAACTATATTATTGTACAATAGCCGAGCTAGGCTCTATTTGTATGGGGAACCCCTTTAAAACAAATAAAATATCTACCTACATTACAGACACCAAATCCACTTTTAATAAATTTTTTGTCTGTCTGGATGTCCGCATTGTACAACGAAATTTTGTCAAGGGTAAGCTCGGCAATGGCTAATAGTAGACTTTTGAACTTCTTACATTACATTTAGGTTTGCTTGACTTAAAATATAGGCTTCAAATGAAAACAAAATATTGAGTAGAACCAAAGTTATGAATTCTTGAATAATTTGTCTAGAGATTCCGGTTAGGCAGTTACTTCAATTCTAATCCCAACCTACTCTACCGCGAGCAACATTTAAAAATTGTACTATTCAACTGGTGGAAAAAATTATCACAACTCAACAGGGAAAATCCGGAATACTGAATATCTGTAATGCTTTGTCACATTAAACGGGTAAAACACACTCATTTTTTAACTTTGTTCTCCCCTTTCAAGGTGTCATTCAATTCAACTTCCCGTGCCAAACAAATATTGTATTCATTTTTAGGATTAACCAAACGGATTAGCTGAAAATCATGAAGAAAAAAAACTCCAAAAAATTTATTCACAATATTCAGATCAAGTTCTAATTTTACATGGATGACTCAATGTCCAATGTTATTTTGGTTATTTTGCCAGCGATAAGCTCAACAGAGTTTAATGAAATGGAGAGACTACAACTCTTTGTGATTAATTAATCGACTCTACAATATTCTCGCTTCATCATGAATGTAAATTAAACACTTAACAAATTTTAATGGACTGGTGATGGTCGGTTTAGTTGTGTGGTACCTAAACAAATAGCCGAATAACAAAGTTTTTTTTACGAATATTGCGAAACCTTGACTTCCATGAGCCCCACCATAAAAATTTTCAAAACAACCCCCTCCCTGCACCCGACCCAATTTTAGGGTGAATTTGGACCCTCCTTCCCCCATAAAATTAAATCCGTCTCAAAAAAAGATTCTCAAATTTTAACTGTGTACCCGTCAACAATATATATATTTATATATATATATATATATATTATATATTATATATATGTATATATATATATATATATATTATGTATTATCGCATAATTTAATCAAGTTCTGTTGTTGTAGTTGCGCCTTCTATAAAGGTACCCAACCAGCTTCTTGGGTCGCCTCCTGGAAAAGATGTGACGATGGGCTGCCACGTGGAAGCCTACCCAAATACCATCAACTACTGGCTCAAGAACAGAGGGCAGATGCTTCTCACAAAGTAATATATTACAATATATTTTTATTATTATTATACAATTATATTCATTACTTATAATAATTATAAAGTGTATTTTTCATTTATCAGTTGTTTTAAGTGGTTTTGAATTTTATTATTTTAAAAACTATGTTTGAACGACAATCCGAAAGTGAAAAAAAATGTAATAGATTAATTCAACTCAGAATTAATATTAGATTTTTATGAAAAAAAAAAATTTAGGGAAAAACTCCGGTTTTCGGCACCATTAAAGAAACTTTAAGTCGTGTTTTTTTTTTTTCATAGGAATTTTCCATACAGCGAGTATAACATTATTTAGTTGTGTTCCTATTCTTCACTATTTCCATTTTAAATATATCTATTTATTGAATACAAATATTGCTTGACATTGATGATTTCCTCGGGGTTTGTTCGATGTTAGTAATTTTTATATAGATGGACATCATTGTATGGATTTAGAAATTTCGCTCTCAGATTTTTGTAAGCAAAGCATTATATAATTATGTGTTGGAGTGTTTCTTTTTGGTTACATTTATATGAAATTTTAACTCCAGTGTGCTTTAGGTGTACTTTACAAAGCCATGTTTTTTTTTTAAGTAAAAAAAAAAATGATAATTATATCTTTTGGTAACAAACCTCAAAGATCTTGAAAGGTATTCAAGTACTGACTGAGTCAGTCGACTAATTTCCTTCGATACTTTTTATATTTATCAAATCGTATTTTCTTTATTATTTATGACCAGGTTATAGCGACTCTGCTCATCCTTTTGCTGGTCCTTAATACCATTAATGCAGCTGAGTGAGTGGCGCTGGGATCTCCTGGAGTCATGTTTTTCTTTCCACGAGTGGATGGAAAGACTTGGCTGGGAGTTCTCCTGAATGAATGAATTTTGTAATATTGTATAAAAACTTCGTGTGTTTTTAAGTTCTTATTTTGATTAGTTCAGTTTCTTTTTTTCTTTTAGTATTATGATTTTGCGGTTTAATGTGCTTAAATGCGACAAAGTGTAATATTACTCAATACAGAAATGTTTTAAATTATAAATAAATGTTTTTATATAGTTTTTAGTTCCATATAAATCAAAAACATTGTACAATATTTATTTAAAAATGGGAACCTAATAATGGAAATATACGATATGTCAGATAAATGTTTTTATAATGAATATTTATTAATGAAAGAATATTTCATTGAAGTATTTTTTTTCTCTACATTTATATAGTATTTGAATATATATAAATATATTTTTGAATATTTAGAGAAAATAATAATAATACTTGTTTTCTAAATTTTAAAATAATTCATGTAAAAAATGAAGTGACTCCAACTTCCTATCAAAATTATTTTCTTTTTCAATTTCTTTTTTATATACAGTTATTTATATGATTAAAATCTATATTTAATTTTTTTTTTTTTTTTTTTGTATCTTCAAGTAATTTGATTCTGTAGGAGGTGTAGAAATTTGTTCTTGAAAATTTGCTGAGTTTTAAATCCTCAAACTAGACGCAAATAGAATAGATCAAATATTTAGAAGTTCACGGTTTCTTCTCTGCTTCGAAATCAGGTCAGATTTGTATTTGCTCTGTTCGAGGTAAACGAAGCAGAACTGTAAAAAAAAAAATCAAAAAAATTACTTACTTTCCAAGTTTAAATATTTTATAAAAATTGTTTTTTCAATACATGGTGTGGTACTTAATTTATTATATAATTATAATTCTCCAAAATTTTGTGAAAGATAAAAGCTGCATAAAGCTAATTTAAGTATCGTTCAATATAAGTGAAGTAATAGGGATTGTCTAAAAAATGTCTAATAAAATTATTTAATGAAAACTATATAGGGCAAGTTTTTTAACTGAGCGTTGAGCTCATTAGGCCGTTCCTTAACTTATCGGTAGATCCATAAATGAAATTCAGCTCGTTCCTTTAGTCATCAATTGATCACGGATTGCTCAGTGGTTCCATCGACTTCTGGGATCGATGGGTCCGCTGGATGTTACCTCGCAGTTGTTATTTTTCAATTTACTTTACATATTTATATTCAGTGTCAAAATGAAGGTAAAACAAATGTAAGATAATAAACCGAAAATTCCACCTCAGTAACAGGATCTGCGGAGAAAGGAAATCTTTCCCGAGAGTTGATAAATTGAAATACTTCTTCGATAACCTCCATGAATAAACAACGGTCGGAAATAGATCAACCTGTATCAAAGCGAAAAACAGAACCACTTCCAAAGATATTTAAATCTCGAAATATCTCAAATTAGGGATTTGCAATGCTTTGACAAAGTCATTTCTGATATATGGCTTTGAGGTTTGGATCAGAGTACTACCACATGGAGAAGAAAGACCAATAAACAACTGCTTACAGAAACCGGTCAATCAATATCCCATGATACGAAAGCATACAGGTTAAGAGGAGCGTAGCCAGTAGCAATCCATCTAGTAGGTCCTCCATAACAATGAGTGCCTCAATAGAAGGCAAAAGACTACGTGGAAGGCCAAAAAGCAGATGCAGAGATAGAATTAACAAAAACGTAATAGAATTGCGTGCAGATAACTGGAAAGAAATAGCCCAAGACAGGTAGAGATGGGACATACTTGTTGTGGCAGAAAAAAAATATACATGCTCTGTAATGCCAACAGAAAACCAAAAATTGTATACTTATATATTGTGATTTATTTATGTTCAAATAAAGGAGGATTAGAAAAAAAATCTGGTGCGCGCATCACGCGATTTTCACTTAGCAGAAATAAGTATTTTCAGACAAAGGGGGAAGTGAAAGTAAAAATTACTGACGCTATATTTATTTACAATTCATTGTGGGTATTTTTATTTGTTTAAATTCTATTATATATACAAATTTTAATTGTTATATCACTGCATTCTTTACAGTTAAATATTAAATAATACCAACAATAGCATTTATAAAAACCGTATATGTATATTTATATAATATTGTCGCAGTCCGTATTATATTAAGCTCATGTTACTTGTGGATGAGTTTTCTAATCTTACGGGCGAGTTTGGGTGCGCTCGTATTACTTTGATTCCTCAATTACAACTATTCTCCGTTACAATCTCTTATTTCTCCTCTAGTTAATTATCAAATTCTTTCATATTTTATATTATACTATCTTTTATGTTATAAATTAATGTGAAATGGTCAATTGTTTCAAATTAAAAAAATTAAAGGTACTTTAGGGGAAGCTAATATTGAAAATTAGCCATTTAAGCCCTGTTAGAGCACATCAATCAGAATAAAAACTGCATTTCATTCAAAATTGCTTAATTTTACACTGACATAATAAGTTTAATGAAAATCGTTAGAGCCGTTTTTTGAGAAAATCGTAAAATTTTGTTAAATCGATTATATAAAGTACCACTTCCGATTTGCCGATTTTGACGAAAATTATTGCTGTTAAATAGAAAGCTTATATAAACCTTAAATATGCAATTTCACTTTCGTTCGACTTTCCGTTTTTGAGCTAGACTGGTAACACAAACACAGACCATTTTGCGGGACTTGGTAATTTGGACTCAGGGGACCTCAAAACGTGTATGTCCGTTGACAACAGAGATTCGAAACTTTTCACGAACGTAATGCTTTCATTTACTATATATTGCATATATAGGTAAGTGAAAGTAAAAAACAGGTTGTATTTAATATATCATACTTTCGACCGGAGGAATGTTCGACTAGAAGTACATACAAATAGTGTCAGTTCTTCATTCCAATTTTAACTTAATAAAATTTCCCATAGCCACATCAAGCATTAATTTAGATTGTGAAGAACAGATAAATGTACAGACTTATCTCCATTCCATTTCATCTGTCACCATCATCTTAATACATTTTGGTTGTGCAAGTGGTTGGTTACACCATATTTGTTTGGGAAGCCATAACGTACATAATGTTGATTCGAAGAGAGCTTATGGTTTAGGAGGTTCGATGTTCCCAACTTGGCTAACTGTTCTAACCGTTAATTAGTTAGTTAATGAGTTTGTTCTATCTGGGCAACTTCTTGTCCTTCGCTCCCGCGTATGTAAATTCCATTAGGCTCTTTTGACTCGATATAATCCGCTGCGGAATGTTGAGCTACAACTACGAATGTGTCGGGGAGCAGTCAAATTACTTCTACCTCAAATTACAGATCTAAATTCTAAGCAGTTCCAATTTGATCATGTGACAGATAAACTTTAGCTGACTACTGATTCATATACGTATATATAATATATACTCAGGCACTTGATTACCACTTATAACGTAACAGTATTGCGTTGTTATTATTCATACTCTAGGTCCGTATTCAAATACGGACTTAAATTTCCTATGAATTCATTTTTACTAATTAATATTGCATTTTTTCACAATTACGGACATAAGTATTAGTAAAACAGTGGGTTCATTCACACTTTATATACAATAAATACAAATGAATTTAATAAAACAGCAAAATAATATTACTAAGAATATATAAACCAAAAGTAACTTAAAAATCGAAATAACAACTCAAATACAGGTATACTTATATGCAATATTTACAAACATTTATTCAGGAAAACTTCAAGTTGAGCGTTTTCTTTCCTCACATGGAAGGAAAAGTAGAAATCTAGGAGATCCCAGCGCCTCTCGACCGCGTCCCTGGTATTAATGACCAATGGCGGCTGAGCTGAGTCGCTATAACACAGACTTACATGGCGCAAATGGAAAATATGAAAATATGTACATGGTTTCGCCGAATTCCAATATGTGCATACTAAAGCTCTCGGGGCCAATATCGCTTCAACCTTCGAGGATGATCGTACAAGAGACTGGAGATAGATAGGGATTTTTCAAGGGTATTTGGATGATATGTTAGCCTCTGGAGAAATTTGGAGACTTGTTCTTGAATAAACACTAGAGTAAATTGGATATTAAGGTCTCAGTGTCGGGTTTTGTTGGCTAAATTAAGTTTCCTATATCTTAATATTATATGTCTTTTTTTACTCTTGATTTATTTTTAATCAATATTTCTATTCCTTTTCTTCTTTTTTTATGTATAGTTATTTTAATATTTTTTAATAGAAGTAATTTTCATTTTTCATTATCGGTACTATTTTTATTCTTATTAGGATGGTTGGCTAACCTTTTAGAGGAACGTTGTACTATTTTTTAGTAAAAACTTTTTTCTTTACCATGGTACGTTTGTTATAAATACTTAAAATAATCTAATGTCTTTTTGTTCTTTTTATTAATTCAATTCTATAGGTGTTTTGGTCAGAAATGATCTTTCTTTTACTGTGCAAGGCTGCTTTTTGTTTTGTTTTTTATCAACTTAGTTCAAAAATTAAGTTTGTTTTCTATTATATTATATATATGAGTCTTTCAGTTGACAGAATGACTAACTCTAATTTCAATTTTTTTGAGTAAAGTCGTTTTAGTGATATTTCTAGTTGGAAATTTTACAATATCTGTACCTACATTGAGTAAGTTGATTGCAGTGTTCAAATTTAGAACTGTGAATAAATGTATGAATTTTGCCACTTGAAATATTATTAAAATTAATAATAAAAATGTTGAAATTTGAATTAGTCATTCTGTCTACTGAAAGGCTCATATAATACGATATGTTAATATTAATATATATTAATACTTGTTTTATAAGTGTTATTTTATTTTATTTTTTCGTGCTGAGATATGATTAGTAACTTAATATTTTTTGTTTGTCCAAAAATTAAAAAAAAGCTCCTTGAAAACGCTGTGTGATGGGCACTATTTCGATATTTTTTACTTTTTTTTATTCATTAATTTAACACACATGAATTTATATGAACCTTTAGAAATAACTATATATAAAATCTTTTTATTATTTATTTGTTTGTGTCTTTTTTTTTCAGTGGAAAACACGTGGTAGAAGAAATAAGGAATCTTTATAAAGTTCAACTGAAACTCACCATTAAGAACTTCAACTCGACAGACATAGGAACTTACACCTGTGTTTCAACTAATTCCCTTGGTAAAGCGGAAGGTTCAGTTAGACTGTACGGTAAGCATTTTAAACTTTATTATATTGAAATATATATATATATATATATATATATATATATATATATATATATATAATATTACTTTGTATTATATTTATGTATTGGATCATCATTATTGTTTCATTATTATTAATTTAATATATGAATATAACAGAATTAAAAATAATAAAAACTCTGCAAATAATTTCACAATGGTTTATTATTTTCAAACAATTATACATCTAAAGTAACATTACCTTCCAAGTTACAAATAAAAATAAATAAAAGATGATTCCAATTATTGGGACTAGACTTTTTTTTTAATCATTGGTAATATGCTAAAAAAATTAGCATTATTTCAGTAATACATTCAAAATTCAAAAACAAAAACGAAGGATATAACATTTGCAGTAGAACATATTTTAAAAAATGGAGACCATATCTTTGCTCGTAATTGTCCGATTTTTTAGTTTTTTAGGAAATTCCGTAAACTTTTAAAAAACCATATACAATATTCACAAAAATGATCAAAATGGTTCATTATTGAAAATAATAAACCAAAAATGTTTTAAAATCGCGATACCTCTACCAATAGTGCTTTGATTTCGATGAAACTTCCTTCATTTTTTAGGAAATTTAAATACCTTTGAATCATCTTATTACAATATCAGCAAGAAAGTGTATACTTTTTGAGTTATTCTGAATTTAATTTTAGCATCCTTCGTAACTTTTTTTCCAGCTTCTTTTCGTTGAAGTATGTTATATAGATAAATTTTAAGGGCGTCGAAAAAATGACTTTAGCGAAGTTTCATTGAAATCCGTACATTAATTTAGGCGCTACAGCCTATAGCAACGCCGGTTTTTCGGCCGCCATGCCGGACGGCGTACGGACAAAAAAATATTTATTCGTTTTTCGAATTCTCATTCTTCTTTGCATTCCGAAAAGTAAAACCTCAAATTTTGAGGGGGTCAATATTTTGAATTTTTATTTGATTACAATGGTTCATTATTCAAAATAATTAACCCAAATTATTATTTTGATGTTTTTAATTTTATATATTACAATATTGACTGGGTAATGAGTCAATATACATTAATGTGTTGGTACTAAATGTCATTTGTCATGTGTAAGTATTAAGATATGTAAGAAGAAAAAATAAATGTTTCTTATAATACTTTGGAAAAAAAGATATAACATAGATCTATAAAATTTATCTGATACAGGTATGATATCGTTTGTTTCATTTCACATTCTAATAATACCTTAATATAATTTTTCGAAACCCGTTTTTAAGAAAAAAATATAAAAAATTTAAATCAGCAAATAAATTACTCAATTCTACTCAAAGGAATAGTTATCTCATGTTTCGGGGGAGGGGGAAGGAGGAATAATTACAGTTTAATGTAGAACTACAATTACATGAAAGTTAGAAAATATACTTTTTTTATTTATTTTTTTTTTTAGAACTAGTTTATTCATAAATATTACAATCTGCATCAAAGGATATTTATAATAGTGCTCAGAGATCACATTCACACTCTTATGTACAATAAAGTAAACAGCAAAATAATATATGTACAATAAGTAAGAATAAAATAACTTAAAGATAATTAAATAAAAAGAACAAATACATAGCTACATAAACTGAAGTTAAAAGTTAAAAATTGCATTAGAAAAGTGTGAGAAAAAAAATTATAAATAAAAATTAAATATTACAAGAAGTAATGTTAACAAATAAAATTCCCAAACTAACCACTTCCTCGAATCCTTGAATCCCCCTAGGAGTCTGAAAAGAAGGTGGCCTCGTGATCTTCTTAACTAGAATTAAATAGGGAGTGCTAACACTGGGCTGTATCTCTTCAAGTCTGTTCGTGTCATTATTTCTAATGTTTGCACTTTTACTGATTGTATTTTTTTTTTTATATACAGTTGTAAATTTCATTAACAAAATAAATAACAAAAAATATTGAAGGAAACTAGGCGACTATTCTACATATTATGGGTCATGAATAGTCAGAACGCAGTCATTATACAAATTTTTTTTTATTTATTTGTGCCAACGTTTGAACCCAATTTTAAAATACAATCAGAAATATAATATTATACAACCGATAATGGTAAATAATAAACTATATTGATTGATGGGGTTCACGAATATTAACTATTATTACAATACACAATATTAAGAATGAAATATGTAAAAAGTTATACAAACCAAATATAATATATATAAACTATTTATAAAAACTAGTAGGCCCGTGCGAAAAATTCGCACAGCATATTGTTATCAAATGCCAAATTAATAAGAAAATGCAACTTATCAAAAGATTAAGATATCAAATGTTACTTTATCGATAAATATAATCCACAAAGCAAACAAAAATTAATTTAAATCTTCATTTTTGTTTGGAACCAACATGTATACAAATTTCAGTAAGCTGTATATTTGCTAAAAATTGTCCGATTGCGATGATTTTTTTTTCCTTTTGTAGGGAATTTAGTAATGTTTTATATAATTATGGGCATAACCATGGGAAAAGTGTGTAATTTTTTAGTAATTTGCAAATATAGTTACTTTTCTTTTATAACTTGTTTACCTGAATTTTCGGGGTGATTGAACTATTTTGTTGACCTTCGAAATTGGTAGCTCAATTCTGGGATTTGGTGAATAAGTAACGATGATATGGCTTGCCGATCAAAAACACCATCGATAAATAATATAAACTGCTATTGTCTCGATCATAGAGACCTCAAGTCGACGAAATGAGACATGTATTCAATGACAGTACTACAATTAATGTAAGGTTGTGTGGATGCGAACCCTATGCCTTGCGTTATCTCGAAAATAGTACGTTTTTCGACTTAAAAATGCAGGATCCTTGCTGTACGCATCAAAATCTTTAAGATCCAATTTGTCCCGTATCGATCTACAGACCTACCACCGTTCCAGTATCGAAGCCTAGCAAAATGTTTGTATCGACTTTATTTATTTTAGAAAGAAAAACAAAAGTGGAGAATACGATTCGCTAACCCCCCGTGAAATTCTGAATCCAACGGTACCCCATTCGTGGTATTTGAGCATGACAGGAGCTTATATTTGGTACAAAACCGATTTCGAGCCTTACTGTAATAATATATGTACGGATTTGTAATATTTTCTCTTACTAACCGTGGTTCGAGCACTGAAAGCTTTCATGTACTGACACAAATAAATACAAAAAAATGTTTATAATGACTCCTGACTATTCATCACCCAACAAAAAATATATATCATTTAATACCTTTTATCCACTATCCCTTTAATTTATTTGTCAATATGTTTTGAGGTATATTCTGGTCACTTCGTTTTGAAGAATTCGGTCTCGCTAACGGGAGTTAACTTTTGTCTCAAAGAAATATTTTTTGATCCGTATCGCTATCGGTATTACAAGAATCTGTTCCTCATAAAAGTTGCGGAGCTATAAGTTAAAGAGTAAATTATAACTTAAACTTTCTAGACCAGTTGGTAAAGCTGGAGGGGGGCGGGAACCCCCTCCAACCCCCTCGTTAATCTCATTAACCGATCCTTGGCCTAATCAGATTATACTGCTCATCACCTTCCTTACCATACCGTCTTTTCCTCCTCACTTCCTAACTTCCAGCTCTTTCAGGAATAAGTTAGCATATTTTATTTTCTTGGGAATATAAGCCTGTCTTGACCCATTTTATGTTAAAGTACATAAGCTTTAAAAATTATAATGAGATATATTATCTTTGAATTCAGAATAAATTTGGTAATTTGTATAAGATTTATGTTAGCATTACATATAGAAAAATCTAATGCGGTGCGCGTATCACACAATTTTTCGTAATTTTTTTTTATTTGTTCTTTTTTGGCTTTAAAACTTGTAAAAGCAAGTCCTATATATAAAATATATAAAATATTTTAATTGCCATAATAAGATGAAATTACACTGGATATATATTAATTATTTATTGATAGATGATCATTGAATGTAATTTGGATATTAGATATTATATTATTAGATATTATGGAAACTAGAAAGACTAACTGAGGTGAATTAGAATTACAATTAAATGAGAATAAGAGGCGACTTTTATTATATGACTGCTTTTATGTGATTCAAAAACTTTATCAAGTCACGGGCGTTATCTTTGTTCATCGACCGAAGAAAGTAAGCTCCATCATCCGTAGTTTGCGATCCTAAACTAATTCTTCTTCGCTTCTCGAACCTTTTGCACTTGAAGGCAATGTGTCTTGGATCCTCCGAGCATTGGCATGTTGGGCATTGACTGCTCTTAGCTAAACCCACTAGATGTAGATATTTATTAGTTCTACCTTTATTTATCCTAAGCCTGGTCAGCTTTACTAAGCTGGAGCGGTCGAGATGAGATATAAGAGTCGCAAACCATGAAACCAGTGCTATCTTCTGTTGAACTGCATGATGGTCCTTACCCTTCGAGGCACATTCCCAGTCGTAGAAATGCTGCCAGTCTTTCATTATTTCTCCCCTCACTATTCTTATCAAATCCAGTAACCTTAGCATTCATTCGATATAGTTGATTTTGATTTGCCGTTTTGTCTGCCATTTCATTTCCTGATAATCCTACGTGTCCCGGCACCCACTGGAAAAATTAATTGTTACTGGCGTTGTATATTAGTGATATAATTTTTAAGGGAAATGTGTGTCAGTGCTTTATTTTGATAGATTAATTTTAGGTGTTTACATGCAGTTGCTGAGTCTGTCAGAATAACTCTTTTTTGGTTGATGCATGTGTTTTCGCTGTAACTTTTTCGTAATATACATTCAAACCTAGTTCAAAAATCTTACATTATTTATAGTCCGTGATACAGACCCCTTTTTATCGAATTATTAACATCTGTCTAAAACTTCATATATAGCTTCATCTCATCGTAACCTAAAAATATTTTATTTACGAAAATTCTCGTAATTGGGGCATTTTCAATCTAGAGGTCGGAAAACTTTGTCTACGTAATTCGGTATTAAAAACTCATGA